GAGCCTGTAAAAACACACAATGGAAGACTATCTAGTTATGGATCGGCCTCCCCAGTGTCGTTTTGTCAAACTGTTGAAATCATGAATGCAGAAAAGTATAGTCAGATTTTATTTCACCATGCAATACCATCTGGCAATGATCCCAAACCCACTGCCAGTGCAATAAAAAACACTACCTGTGCACTCAAAGTACTTTACACAACATGCCTCATTTGCCCAAGCACTTTTTTCTATACTTTTTCCTACGTAAGTGCTTTCTATTTAAAATTCACGCTCCAATGGATGCATCAGAGAGCAACTCGGGTTTAGGATATTTGGCATGCAGAGTAGTCAGCGATTGAACCACCAGCCTTCACGATTAGTAGACGACCTGTCCTACCTAGCTACAGCCATCCTAGTGAAAGCATATCTGGGTAGAAAACAGACAGCAGAATCTCCCGAGAACTAAGCCCTCAACAATATCGAAGCAGTGTGGGATCATCTTGACAGAGAATGGAACAAAAGGAAAAAACATCCAAAGGAGAGATTTGAATGTTCTTCAAGAAGCCTGGAGAAATCTTCCAGAAGACTACTTAACACAAAGGTTTTCCTGAGAGTTTAGGCAGTGTTGAAGAATAAAGGTAGTCACATCAAGTATTGACCTTGACATCGACCTTGAGCTTGTTAGAACTGCACAAACATTTATTTCTTTATTATTATTGCTTTTTTCAAGATAATTAGAGGTATAGGCTTGGTTTTTACCACATATACTGTATTTTCTGTCTTTCAAAATCTGCACAGACATTATTCTGCTCAGTCAAATAGGAACCACAAGCAACAAAAATTAGGCGGCAACAAAATAGAACAGAGGAAGAGATTACTTTTATTTTGATAATTCCTCCTGCAATCAAGCAATTTTCTGCGCTTAATATTGAAATAGGCATTAACATTGCATGCACACATCATTGTAAACTTGCACTTGTGTAAACCCCAACAATCACTATCAGCTTCATCTGTATTACAGTGATCTAATGACTGAGGCATGATGGCAGTAAATAAATATCTTCTCTTATTTTCTTGTGTACATTCAGAAACAGTACATTCTATTCTCTCATAAGTTAATTCATATTGAAGATGTACTTTAATCAAGTGGGTTTCGATATTAAGGCCTTAAAACATTAAGAAATGTCTGGGAACAGATACTATATGACACAAGCTCAACATCAGTGTGACAACATCTTAGACGATAAATAAGTGGTATTTATGAAGAATTTAAAAACCAAGTCTTTGTAAGAAAAAGGTTCTGGGCATAATATGTTGAACAGTGTTAATATCACTCTGCAACTTCAACATAATTAGCTGGGTAGAACCCCTCCTTCCCGCCGCTCAGTGCTCCTCGGCACCAGCCTTGATCGTCCTCTTCCTCGACCTTCAGGAATACCTCACCTGGCATCAAACAGAACAAAACTCAGTTCAGTTATGGACATACAACACGGTGAAATTAATGTTAATTAAGGCAAAAATTCAACTGATGTTGTAAAGACATATTTCAAAAGGAGATTGGAGTCAGAATATTAGAGTTTGGACATCTTGCTGTTACACGGCACTAAAATAAACAAGTGTGGAAGTGTGCAGGGAATAAAAACACACATCTGTTTAGGTTTCATGTTGGCTTAACTGACAGTAACAGTTGTTTTTTGCTCCATGTGTCATCCTGTGGTTCAGATATGGGTTTCCAGGCAACCTTGCAAATGCTGTGTTGTGTTTTTCTGCGGTTAAGATTTCGGCACCCTAGGGCAGTGGTTCCTAACCTTTTTCTGGTAAGCCACATGCACACAGTCTACTAATTTCATGATCCACATTGCATGCTTTTTTGGTGTATCATTCAAGTGATAATAAAAAAAGATCCAAGTTGAATTTAGTGAAATAATGATCAGCATAAAAGCATTAATAAGCTCTTGTTTGTTTACATTTTTATGCACAAATCATATTCATTCAGCTTAATTTTACTCCATACTTTTCCCGTGGCCATTTACAAGTTATTAAAATGAAACTACAGCAGCATAAACCATAAAATATCACATTAGTAATTCCACGCAGCACACTTGTGTTTACCAGCCCATCTATCATCATTTTAGAAGGACTGATTACAATTCTGTCCTCCTACGCGTATTTATGTTGATGTGGCGGTTGTAATTTGGCATAAACATCTTGCCTTTACACCGAGAATAAAATGGCGTTGTTGCGTCACACTGTATGTGTCACCTGCTTTAAAGGACAGCTCATCACCCTCCTCTCCCACGTAGTCGTACAGAGCTCGCACCTTCACACCCCCAATCATCACACTAGGAGGAGAGGAAAAGTAAAAACGATGAATATGAATCAGGCGGAAAAATGTATTGTCCACCTCTGGATCATTATTATTTATTCAGACGTGACAAAGAAAGTTTTCACAGGACTGCATAGCGTGACTAACTAACTATACCCTATGATTCAGCAACTTGTAGAATTACCTTCAGCAGCAATAACTCAAAGTAATCATTTTCTGTGTGACTCACATTATTGCAGAGGAATTTTGACTTATTCTTTTTTACAACCTTGCTTCATCTCACTGAGGTTTGAGAGTATTTATTTATATCCAGCTCCTGTAAAGATCTGCCACAACGTTTCAGTCAGACTTTGACTGGACCATCGCAACACCTTTGATTCTTTTCCTT